AACAAATAAAATTAATAATTTTTTTAAAAAAGACTTTTTATAATGACAAACTTTTTTCATTTTATAAAAGAATTTCCTTCCTGCCTGCCTTCCTTCCTTCCTTCCTTTCTTTCTTTCTTTGAATCTGACCAGAGAGGGACAGAGATGGAGAGAGAAAGTGAGAAAGCAAGCCACCAAGTCTTGGACTTCAACCATGGTCGGCCATGTGGGAGTCCAGCACCCTTAACCACCACTCCACCTGCCGGCCCCTAAAAAAAGATGAAAAAAAATAATAATAACCAGAAATGATAAGGCAATAACCACTACATAATATTACACTCTTCCAAATACAAAGGAAACAGTCATGAACGTGAGTGACCAATTTAAAAAACTCAACTAAATTCAAGATCAAGTAATGCAGAGTCAAAAAACACTTTAAGTACTTTTCATTTTAAATGAAAAATACTTATGAAAGATAACATTCAAGTTTCCAGTTCTGTAATTTTTAGAACTGCCTCCCTACACTAATCAAGGTTCCCCTAAATATCTTTGGTGGTTTGATTAAGAGCAATTTAACACTATAAGCCCCAACTTATTCCAAAATCCACTCACCAGGCAAATGACAGATTAACAATGACTTCGGCCTAGGCGGCAACGAAACACATTTTATTTCTTCAGCTCTACACCATCTACTGCTGCAGAGAATCGTAAATTAAAAATATGGCGGGATACTATACCATTTAAACCTGAAAACTAGCCACTGTTGGGTTTTGACTTGACTCCTGAGATTTTTGATAATGACAAAAAGAACATTAGAAATTAACTTGGAGGAAGACGTTAAAAATTATTTTTACAGTAATGGCTGGGAAGCAGAACAGTCCTTTGGAAATTAAAAACATTTAGTCAGCTGACACATAAATTTTCAAGGCCTTGATTCAAAAGTGCCATTATAATTAATAGGTGGGGCAAGTTAAGAAAGCAGTGGCAACGGATTTTTCTAGAAACTGGCAGGAGCTGCCTGACAGATGCAAAAGGGGAGGAGGATTATAAACTGAGACTCAAAAGTGACCTAACACATTTTATCAAGCTTGGCTCGCAGTTAGGGTTAGCAATAAAGCATAGCAATTCTGTAACATTCCCAGGGCATTTTAGTCGCCACTTTAAGTTAAACCACTTAAAAACAGAGAGGCCCAGCCACAGTGGTGTAGCAGTGGTGTGCACTAGCATAAACTCCAACAGTCAGAGACCACGGGGGAGGTCCTGGATTAGCGCCTGAGGTCTCCGTGCATGCACCAGACAGGTGCACCCACCTGTGATCCTGGCTGGCCAAGGCTGCTGGCAGGATAGAGGAAGGAAAATCTGTCGGGGGTGCCCATCTCTGTCTCTCCTTCTGCCTCCCTCTCTCATGAAAGAAAGAAACTAAATACATATACACAGTGAAATGCCTAACAAGAAAACCTGTCAATGTCAAAAATTATAGATGGAATTACTACCTTGCAATGAAACAATTTTTAAAAAGTCACTAACTGGGACCAGCAGTTGGCATAATGGCTATGTTGCTGGACTCCCATGTAGTCGACTGTGGTTTGAGTCCTAGACCCGGTAGCTTAAACCCACACCAGGCGTGTGTGCGTGCGTGCGTGCCCAAGATCCCGAGAGAATGGAGAAGGGATTGTGGCATGGCCAGGGGAGTAGAAATCACTTTCTGTCTCTCTGTCTCTCACACACAAAAAATAAAAAGCCACTAATTGATCAAAATAAAATGGACATATTTGTCAAGACTAAGACAAATGAAAAAATTTATGAATTTTTTAAAAAACTGTTTTCAAAGCACATGCTTTCCTGTATTTTAAACACTTTTTACCCTAAAAGAACAAATAACCCTTTCTCTTCAACTCTATTCACTGAAATAGAGTTTAAGGCAAATGGTCTCTGCATTGCCCTGTGCCATGCTGATGAGGGAACACAGCTTCTGCGAGGAGATGGAGGAAAGCACAAGAAACCCATCTCAAATAAGCAAGTATACGGATGGCTCCTGCAATTGGATTTATTTAACACTCCTAGTGGCCATTTGAGGATTCGAGGAGATTAATTTTTACAAAGCATGGAAGGTCAACCAGAATGGAAGACCAGTTAACAATATTCATCCTTTTCAGTGAAATTTTGTTTACAAAGGGCAACATCCATGTTATCATCTTGGATAAAATATCTACAGCCTCCGCCGTGGCTGAATTGCAGCTATAAAGGAAACTGCTCCGAGATAAACGGTTCTCTATGGAAGGCTCCGCTGCTCTACTTCAGCTCGGGACCATAAATCAGATTAACTGCACCTTGTCCTCTGGCCAATGACATCATCAGTTTGACCACCTCTTGGGAATCGGGTGCGAAAACATAAGCTACTTAAGGCATAACATCACTGTACTCTTTTTGTCCATCGACCTCATGCTCAGGTCTCTGAAGCCATGCACCTGCACGTGCTCGTGAAAGCTTCAGTTACTTATTTATTCACTGTCACTGCATTCAGGGCCTGCCAATTGGGGGTAAGAAGAAAAATGGCGAGAACTGCTATTGGAAATTAGCTTGCTTTTCAGTCCATCAGTCCCTCATAACTAGAATTTTGTTAGAAATTCAGCTGAAGGCTAAAGTCCCACTGAATGTGTAGCTAGTCACTCACCGTGAAGTGCCTTAGTATAATTCCAAAGGTTTAATGCCTTAGTGTAAAATACCGTTCCTCCAGTCCTCAACTAGCTGCAATAAGCCAGCACCGAGGAAGCAGCACCACTTAAAAACAGTACAAAAAAGTTAAAGAAAACTTTATCACGGAAAGACCAAAACTCAAAACGGTCATGTCCTCTCAACTGTAAAAGTGAATCCGCCTTTCCCAGGCCGACTGTCCTGAAACATAAAGCCCGTTCTGACAGCGTACAGAAACGGTAGTGAGTCTGCCGTGGGAAGAGTAAGTTACAGAGCCGGAGTCGCAAAGCCCGTGTTTATTCTTCTATGTTCACTCATTTCACCATGACGCGGACATGCAAAAAAAGCGGAATCCCATCCCTGCTGCCTGTAACTGGACGAACAGCAAGTGTGTGACAGTGACAGCACGAAGTGAACGGAAGCCCCCTTTAAAGCAGGATGAGGACCCTGGGGATGGGGCCACTGCACTGGGCAAGGAGGGCCGTGGCTCCGTGATCTCTGGGATGCTCAGCTCCTCCAGGACTCCGGGTGGGAAGGGACTGACCGGGTTTCACCAGACCTCGCTGTGCGAAGCCTAAAGTGTTTAACCTGGGGGTGGCGACGAGGGCAGAACGATCCCCAAACGGAGTGTCTGCTTGTATGAAACCTGGAGCCTGTACAGCCTCCGACAATGAGGACTAAGACAGCGTCCCCGGGCCCAGTGTCGCCGCAAACTGTGAGAGGTCTCTGGGAGAGAAAGCAAGCCGCCAGACTTGCCGCTTGGCCGGGAGCTGCTTCAGGGCTGGGAAGGCCCCGGGAGGGTGCGTTCTGCCCGCGGAGGAGGGGTGCGCGTGTGGGAGCCGGCGGGGGAGTCATTTTGGTTATTAGTAAATAAATCAAGCAGCAGAGAACATGAGGCCTAGGAGCTCCTGGCGCGGCCAAGGCCTAGCTCCCCCTCCTCTTCCCAGCACAGCCTGGGTTTGATCTCAGAGCCTTGTGGATTGCCAAGGAAAAAAAAACAAAGAATCATATCGAACCACAAAAGCACATGGGGCGAATGTAAAATATAAACACGGCGTTGGGCTGTGAGTGGCGGTTATTAAAGGTCTGAATTACTAAACATCAGAGGAGGGGAAAGCCAGGCGGCCATTTCAATAATATAAACCTCCCCGAATTAGACATTATTCAAATGAGAAGAGGTTCGGCTGAGCCGAGCGAGGACAAGCCCCGCGCAGGACAACAGCACGCAGGCCGGGGGCGTCCGCTCGCGCCCCGCCGGCCCCAGCAGGCGCGGGGCTCCGGCTCGGGGGGAAAT